ATCGAAACAACGAATTTAAAAGCAGCGGAGCCGACCCATCGCCGAATGCATGTTCTAAAAGGAAAATAGCTTTTGGTATTAGCTACCAGATAACCATTGTAGCTTTTTTCGCCCAACAGTTTGGACACATCTTCCCCAGTGACCGGCGCCTGTCCAAATGCTTTCAACAATCCAGCTCAAACAATATAAGTGAGCACTTGTCTGCGAATACGATTGCGAAGCGACAGCACATCCACCCCCAACAGCACAGCCAGCTCCCACCCCTCAGTTTTCCTCAGTAACCATGCCTCACATTCGCACGTCGAGGCCCGATGACACTGAACAAATAAACAACAGCAAGTGTGTCGATGCGGTACTTTCAGTTCAGCTCCTAAACAGTATCAGTGATGCAGCGAAATTTGTGCCGACCTGCCCCCTTCCGCGCACAAACTTCGACTTTAGACTGTAGCGCATATTCATATTATCGCTAAAGTAGGCGTAACTGTCAACTTCTTCCAAGACAATGCCGTCTACCAGCAATGCCGCTGCGGTCATACCGATACTCTGAGCACCCTCGTTTTTATGCTTCTTTTGCACCTATGTAATGCAAAAACGCATACTGTTGAGGGGTTGTCTGCATGTGTGTGTCTGTGCGTTCGTTTGAACCGATTTTTCATCTTAAGACGTACAAAAGCTACGAGGCTGAAACTTTCGGAACTGAACCTACATGCATTTACAGGCTCCCAACCCCAAAATGGACGCTCTTTCCCATGTACGGGCCCAGTTAAAGTTTTTGACGGGTAAGCTGCTAACTTGGGAACAGGAGAAGCTAAAAAGCTGGAATTCCAAAGGGACGTTTCCCACTCAAGTAAAACTTGACCAGTTCAAACCCAACCCTCAGGTGCACGTAGTTCTCCCGGTGAAAGTTTTTGGTCAGTAATCTGCTAAATCGGAAACCAGAAAAGTTAGAAAGCTGAAATTTTAAGCGAATATTTTTTCACAGTCCTGATAGCCAGTCTTAATTCTTTTAGCTAGAAGCATCTGTCGGAAAAAACCAGCGCCGTTAGCGGCAAAGAAGTTGTGCAAAAAAACGCATCCTCGTACCGGCATTCGGTGCGCTGGACAATTATTGTGCATTTTTGCATATTTATGCAAAAGCAAAAACAGATATTGTCAAGAGGTTGTTTATGTGTGTGTGTGTGTTCGAAGGCAAGTGAATTTGTCATCCACCTTCAACTAAGCAACTCGGGAAGACAGGAAGCTGAAATTTTTGAAGCATATCCCTAGCGTTCATGTACGCCAGGGTCTCTCACCAATCCAGTCAGTCCCTCCATCTTCAAGAGCTCGCAGCACAGCATTCAGCTAGACGCTATCGAATGTTTTTTCGTGTTGACGGACAGTACAGGATATAGAGAGCAATGATGAAGGCACAGCACGAAAATTTATTGTAAGTGATTTAAGCACAGAATGATCAGGGTTTGCCAGAGATAGCTCCGCAACACTGTTACCATGGGCATGTAATGCTGGCTGCCTAAGGGACTTAACTCACGAGAGCCTCACACGCTGCAGACCTGCTTAGGAGAGCAACACTCCTCGTACACATATGTTTCCCTTGCAGCGTATTCAGAATCATACCTATTCCATTGTGTGTTGTTGAATTCCTCGCCGTACTCCACCCACGCCAATTTTGATTCAAGGATTCCGCATCCGACATCCATGAGCACAGTGAATCTTCTTCAAAACGTTCGGAGTCCTGAACAAAATTAAGCTGATAACTTACCGCTTTCAAGACATCGAGTGTCACGAGAGAATTTGCCTTTTGCCCGAAAACTTATTATAAATTATTATGAATTTCAGTTAAAATATTATTTAAATATCAAGTAGCACAAAGCCAAATCAGTAGGACCTCAAATGAAAGCTGGTCATCATCCCGGTCAGCAACAGCTGGATCCATGCGAGGTCCACCTTCATCGGCTTCCTCTTCTCCTCCAGCAGCACGCATAAGCCATGCATCATTTGGGTCTAGCTCCCCTTCCTGAAAAAAAAAATGGTGCATCATGCTTACGAGGATTTTTATTCAGAGTTTTGAAGTCACAACGTCAACTGATAATGAGCATACACGTGCAACTCCTTTTGTGCGTACTTGCTGCAAATCTCTCCCTCACAATCTTGGGTTTAATAAACGAGGCTTCCTTCGATGTACGTGTTTAAATAATGTTTTATTTCTGGAGGCCCTTGTTTGAAATATTTTCCTCCGCTGAATGTTTTCCGCGTAGAAATAATGCTGACTGTCCACAGAAATTG